ACTAATACATTAGCAAGTTTTCCAAATTCGATTTGACTATTCACTGAACACAATTTACGACCCGTCCTCAATACAAGAGGAAGCTACACTTAATTCACACGAAGATACATTCAAATTACCATAATAATACAGCTATAATTTGTTTTATGAAAAGACTTTGTAAAAAATAAAACTTAGTTTCAATAAATCTGTCAAATGGTCGGTGATAATGACGGCTCACAATTTGTGTTCCAACGGTGCTTTCTTATTTGTTAGCGTTGGTGATACTTAATAATCTTCTTATTGAGCCATAGTAGGTAATGGTTGACCTACATCATTGAAACCAGCTATTTAAGCCTGGGAGTGGACTTCTGGTTTGTGAAAATTTGAATACCAATTCAGATTTGAATTGGATAAAGAAATGGCTATCAGAACAATCTCACTAGTCTTTAGCTAACTCAGCTGCAGTCGGGTCACGACTTCATAAAATCCACAAAATATCAAGAGTCTCATTAGTTTAGAGGTAGATTTTGATTTATGTTTATAAAATAAGTCTGAGATAATAATCGCAAATGATCCTAAGAAAACTGTTTATTTTACAGAGAAAATTCACATTTCCTGCAGAGAGATTTACTGTGTCAAGAGAAAGTCTTCTTGGAAAATCTGCTACGGGTAATATAACTGGTGTGTTGGTACTTGAATATAACAATAAGCTCCTAATGAGTGTAAAATTACACGCTCTCGGGGTTCCCCAGGAGGACGAAACCAAAATTTTTCATTAAGTTAAATTCCTTAATTCCTCGCATCAACATTTAACCGAAGAATCCACACAGCGTGCTGATGTTTAGACAACAAAAGATGAAAAGGTGCTATAAAATTTCACCATTTTCCCCTTTTGTATGTGGCAATTAGGCTAATGAAGTGGCTTCAACGAGCGCGAATGAATGGCTCCACCCGAGTTCCTGGCATTCAAAGCTCACCTTTCATGTGGGCAATTTACTGATGGTCTACATTATATGGCTTACTTGAATTACTTGTGAGATCCTCTAGTTACGAATATGGATTCAGATATTGGATTACTGAATTAGATCGGAATTATGAAGTAATAGAAAGTGGCTTATTGAATAGAAGATAAAGCTATAAAACGTCTTACATTTACTTAATTATGTATTAATAAGTATTAAATCTTGAAAACGTAAAGCTACAGAAATTATAAAATAGCATTGAATGAAAGATCATATAATTAAAACAATACATAATTTTAGACCAATATTTGTAGCAGTTGGAGGTCAACACAAGTGTTGCAACATTTCAACAACAGATTTACGAAAGCCATAGTTATTGCTGAATGTAGCACAATATTGCGCAGTGTAGTCAAGTGTAGGAGCAATTGTGTGGAGAAAGGGGATGCTCTAAATCACTTTCAGTATGCGCAGTTTATACAACATACAAATATTTGGTGCAGTACACTACACAATATATCTTGAAAATGGAACAATCGAGTGTATTATTAAGTCGAAAGTATTTTGCTATCTACTATCATAAAAGAAAATAAAATCGAGCCCATTTTTAAAACGTTTATCAGACTATTTCCGACGTCCAAAAAAATAACCTCCAGAACTGAACACAATAGATTGATCATCCCAATAAATAACGATCAATCCACGCGACGCTAAACAAAAACAATTTACAAAGTCAAGATGGCGGATTTATTTGGCGCGAAAGTGTTCGCGAAGAAGCCGCCGTACAAAACCAAAATGGTATTACCCCAAGGCTATTTATCAAAACGTACGATAAACAGAAATGGGAAATTGAAACAGAGTCAACGGGGACCAGTGGAAATGATTTATTGCCATTATAAACAAAATATGGACTGATCATTTTCCATTCCGAGATTGAATTTAGACCTCCGAGGGCGAGGTGTGTGTTAAATGTGCCTAATGCCGTGTTTAATGGCGTATCGCTTTCGAGTGATTTGTTTGATTATATCACATTCATGTATCGAGTTGGTAGTCTACAACATATCCTCTACAAAAACAACTTCAACAACCAAAAAACGATCATCTGAGAAAACTGGTTGTAGTATCCATGAGAGTATAAAAATCCGCATTCGTTTGATAAACTCAGACCCAGTGTAAAACCACTTGGCAAAGGTAAGCTGTTTGAAACAGAAAAAGTCCGTACAATAGCAATAAACGCGCATGCAGAGGTATTAAAACTAAATAATACTCTGGAATTGGAATGGAAGAGCCGAAACTGAATATTCCAAATGCCGAGCGCCGAGAATTTCTCCAGAATACCTTAGCGCCCATTAAATATTGCTCTATAATATGAAGTTTTTTGTTTCAAAGCACGTTTAGTAGACATGGCAATCTTTTGTTTAAATTTGAATTTACTTCCATTGTTTATAAGAGTGCAATTTGTATGTAAGTTCATTTAGCTACACCTAATTACTTTTGTAAAGAAAATATCATCATTGTTGGAAGAGAGCCTGTCATAATAAATCTGATCATGGATTGTAAATATTCTGATTAGAGATTTCTGATTGGTCAATGTATATTCGTGTGTGTTTTCAGATTAGAAATTCTAATTGGAATGGACCTTAGTTTTAATCAAAATATAATGCAAAATATCAATTAAAAAAATCTCAGTAGTAGCATGGAGTCTGGAATTGTACCCGGTATATGGCAATAGGCCCACCCCCTATCACATGAGACCCATCACGTAAATAGTAAAAAGTGGGTGTTACATTGTACATTGGCATAATGTGCACCTCTGCCTACCCCTTCAGCGATAAAAGGCGTGATGTTATGTTATGTTCATAATGCAATCATATATACTATATATATACATTATTTATATTATTGTGCCCATATATATTATTTATATTGTGTTTTTTTTTGTATATTAAATTTTTCTTTATATTAAAATTTTATTGTATTGTTTCGTATGGTATGTACATTAGTTTGGTATATTTTGATGATTTTTGTTTTTTTCTTTACGCCTTTAAGTTTGTTATTATGCTGTATTTATGTAAGTATCTGTTATTTTTATTTATTTTTCATAATCTTTGCTTGGGTACCATTTGCCAAATAAATGCTTTTTCTTTCTTTATTTCTTTCAATCCTCTTATTACCATTTCGACAAAAACCTGCAATGTTTATTAAAACTGTGTTAGTTTCATCAAACATTTCAAAATTAAATTTCCGTTTCGTTACTGTTTTCCTTAGTTCCTTAGTTAGAGTTTAGCGTTCTCTAGTTGCCATTGTATGTAGTTCTGTGAGAATTAATTTGCAGTAGGAACAGAACACACATTGAAATTATTACTCGTTGCCCGCTTATGAATGGTTTGCCTAGCGTTGCATTTGCTGTCTGTCTGTCAACACAGCGCTGTAAACTTTAGCAGGTACTAAGTTTGATATTAAATGTGAATAGTGGTTAAACCGTTGTGCTACACTGAAGTATTTTGGTAGTTATACAACATGAGAATTTTAATTGGAGAGTTTAATATGATTTGATGTTTCACTGACAGTGGTGGGGAAACTGCCTCGTTGACCGAGTGGTCGCCAAGTGTTACTGGGCTTTTTAAAAAAATCTCAGTAATAGCACGGAGTCTGGAATTGTACCCGGTATATGGCAATAGGCTCACCCCCTATTACATGGGACTCATAACATAAAAATAGTGAAAAGTGTCTGTTACATTGTACAATGTACACCTCTGCTTACCCCTTCGGGAATAAAAGGCGTAATGTTATGTTATGTTATGATGGGGAGTCTATTCCCGAAAAGGTAACATTAGTTAAACTCCAAGCTTAAAATAAACATAGATTGCATCATAATGCTTTTTCCAAATTAGAATCTCAAGTTCGTGCCTCTCTTTTAGTGCATCATATAACTCGGCATTTTTGTCTAACTTTCAACCATCTTCGTGGATCTGGATCATAAAAACTTCTAAAACAGTTGAGAACAATCCTAGCTCACCCAATTAAGTCGACAGCGTTATCATATAAAATGTTACCTCAACTTTTTCGTAAGAACACCATAAAAATTTACTCCCTCGTCTATATTTAGACGATATGATACGGCCCAGATGGTCACGCCACCCGATTTTAGTATCTCTCGAATCTTTTTAACATGACCATTTAATACTGGCCGTTACCTCATCTAGCTTCTACCTTTATGTTGATTAGAAATTGTAAAGCAGCGGGAGGTGAGGCAGGTCAACGTAATATGGAAGGTCGCTGTAACAGCCGATAGCAGACTATGGAACGAGGAGAGTAACATTTCATAGTTATGACTGAACGGAAAGGAAGTGTATATTTAGTATGGCATCTGGTTCTGGAGCATTTCATAGAAATAGTATTAATTAACATGTCCCATGGCGGATAGTTTCATAATTTTTAATTCCCGTGACAGAGGATCGTAAAGTTTGGCTGCAAATGTTCAAGTCTCTCAGTTGTCGCGGCTATTCGTGGCTTCGATGTTATGAGATGAGAAATGATGCCGATTAACGTAAAAAAATGTTTAGTGGGATACGGAAACGTTATGAAAAATGGGATTATTAGCTGTTGAACGTGAACGTTCTGGTTATATAAATAATATTATGCGCTGTTATAGTTACGAAACTTAAACAAATGGTTTATTTTGTGTATGGTTTGAATTACAAATATCAGTCACTTGATTCAACGTGTCATTAAATATTATCGGTTTAATATTTTAGAGTTATGGTTTATTTTATGTCATCTGGTCTTTAATGTCCTTTTTGTATGATGATAAAATGGACTAAAGTGTTCATAAAATTAATTTAACATGGCGTTACTGCAAGAGATTTAATGTACCGTGGTCCGTAGTTTGAAATGGACATCAAAAGCTATTTGTTTTATGACGTATGAATGTAATTTGTTACCTACATAGAGGTATATTAACTCAAGAAATGAATATGTTACAGAATTTATGTCCTGTAAAAATCTTATTCTGATATATGAACCGCATGATAAAAAAAATAACTTTGTACAACTCACCACCATGAACTCCGCAGTAGTCACCAACGCAGTCAGCATGTTGTGCATGAGCTCCTGAGCATGGAGTGTCTCCGGTACAGGCTCGTCTCCTTGTTTGTCTGCAGTCAGCTCCACATACTGACCATTCCGACCAGCTGCCCCATCGACCAGGTAACGCTAAGAGAGAAAACAAGCTGTTAGGTGAATTGTTCTTTATTTTTATTAAGTTAGAGTTGGTGTTTAATTGTAGGCTTATCTGATATTGTTGAAATGTCAGTGTTATAAATAGAGTGACTACTGTCTGGATGAGCCTAAAATGGTGTGAGCTATTCACGGATTTGGTGGTGGATCATTGATGGACTCAACCGTAAGTGGACTGATGACTAACAGACTATCCATACAAAGTCCTACTACCTCCTACTAATATTGAGGCTTCTTTTTTTATTTGTATACTTTTTCACGTGCAAAATAACGAAATTATTAATAAAGACTACTGTATGTTATTATGTAAATTTGTCAAAAATATATATATATATCTATAGGAAGCGCTATAAACAAACTCTTTAAATGTATGTAACGTCCGAAATCAAAACCGCAATTGCTTTTAAATCGCCGTTCACTCACATTTATGCGACTTTAAAATGTATAGCGAGGACATAAAGTCTTTTTATGATCGCCCTTTAGTTTCGTAGTCAGTCGTATACATAGACGTACAAACAAAATGTTCTTAAAATGAAGGGAACAAAAACTGAACGATGTCAGAGATCAAGGATCAGTTTTTGCAGATACGACATGGATACGACATCGTCATTTATCATAATGCACACTGTAATTTTTTTATGTCAAACATATGGTGTGATGTGATGGGTGATGGGTGCAAATAATTTGAGTTCCAAGTTATCAGAAATGGTATTGGTATGTCTGGTATTCTGGTTGGTTAGCTGGTTTTTTTGGACAACCTGTTTACAGTTTTGGTGCAAGTATATGTATAAGAATATTCTGTATCCAAATATTTTTGTAGGTAAAGTTTGACTTGGTAACAAAAATATCTTTTTACAAGTATGTATTATGAAATTCATTATTACAGGTTTTTTATTCTCCTTCCAACTATAGCTAAAAACGGTAAACGAAAATTAGTTTTACGTAAAAGAGAGAGCTTTTTAAACCTCTTTACTTACGTATTCCGGGTCCACTTAGCGACGCCATTACGGAAACGTTTATTACAAGAAATAAGCAGTCGTTATTGGGAATTTTAAAATTGAAATTTCATATAAAATAATGCCTGTACCTGCTGCGACGATTCTTTGTAATATATTCTGACATTTTCTTCGAAATTATTTTGTTAATATGTTGTTAGGACGCGTACAGGAAATTGAAAGGGCGTCGGAACGTAAACAACGATCCTGTATATTTGTTTTCTGTTCATTTACATAAATATTTGGTACTTTTTATTCGATACAGTTAACTTTAAAACGTTCCAGTCCATTTACTGCTGGATCTAAACCTCCAGCTGCGATCAACAAACCAATTTCGATTCGTCAAATAAATCGATTAGCACTCAAATCGATACCGACTTTACTATGCAATTATCTAGGCGCAGACTGACTAGCTGCGACCAATTAACGCGTAGTTTACGATTATTAATCGAGTACTCGATAATTCGAGAACCAGATGGAACTATCGCCCTATAAATTGAAATTAAAATACATCGGTGGTTGTCCGAAGCGTCCTTACACGCGAGCTGGGCATAAATCACAATGTTTTTAAAAAAGAAAATAATAGAACGTTCATACTGTGATGGTGTTTGGTGCAAAAATAAAGATTTCGCGGTTAGGAAAATCGAAAATTCAATGAGGCTTTCCATAAATATCGTGAATTGAATTCTAAATAAAATGTTTTTCATTTGTTTACTTTTATTTTCATAATAATATGTATTGATGAATATTTGTGAAAATAACCTTGACAACTTTCTTTATAACGTAACATTTTGTTCACAAATAGTTTTATTTGTGAAAACTTAATAAATTAATACTTTTAATATATTACACATTTTATTACATTAATTAATTAATAGCGTGTTTTTACAAGCGATTTAATTGGACTACAAGCGTAACACCACTCAAACCACTAGTCACATAACGCTTTTATAACCTAAAAAAACAACCTCTTTGACATCCCGCCACACATGTCAAACTTGGGCCACAACCGCACCCTAACATGTGTGCGTGCACGGATATTAAGTACAACAGTGTGTAACATTTCTTATTAATTAATGCGCACACACATAAATCAGTCTTGCTTCGTTAGAGTAACTACGACATAAAGGACTTTCACGTTTACATACTGTTTTTTTAATTTTATTTTTTTTCTACCGGCCTGATTAGGGAGACTATGGGAAATGGAAATTTTATTAGAGTTTTTTAATGAAGTTTAAATTATGTATTATTTATGAGAGAAAGGGTGGTTTGAATATTATATTGTTTAACATGTGTTTGATTGTGTTTTGTTTTTTTGTAAGTTATGCAGTTTGTGAATAAGTGAGAAGCGTGTTTGTGTAAAACTTTAGAATCTTTCCATTTTTTTTCTAAGCATTGCTAAGTAAGTGGATATCATTAGAATTTTACACCGGAAAAGGGAAGAAAGGCGAATATTTATTGAAGAAATAAATAAAATAATTATATATATGAAGTGAATTTAATTATATATATGAAGTTATTTATGTATGTACATATTTTGTGTTTATTATATATTTTTATACAGTATGTTATACAGTATTTATTATTACTATTAGTTATTTATTTTGTTTTTTTTTTTGCATATTACACAGGCCCATTTTCGCTGAGCTTACATTTAACCCAAAGGTTGACTGGGAGAAAATGCCATATGGCATTAAGTCCGCCTTATGTACCTTATTTTGTGTGCATTAAAGTGTTAATTAAAAAAAATTAAAAAAATAAATAAAATATTACGTAATTTATAAAAAAAAACTTGGAGAAACTATTACAAGTTGCTTTTCAAGAGACCTATGAAGGAAGATGTATCCTACATTCCTACACTATAAGCTGGTTTTTTTTATCCATTTTTTTTCTTATTCAAATAATATCTTTCTCTAAATCGCTGACACTGCAACCACACCTTCACGTAAGCAATTAAACTGCAAGTAATTGTGTCTCCAGACAGACGAGTACTTTGTAACTGATTTTTTAAGTAAATCTGTTGCATTCAAGTAGCATTGTACCATGTTTTTGGTAATACATTGATAAAATAAATATATTGACGGCGCGGTTAGTGCAGTGGCTAGCCAACTGGCTTGCGTGCAATGTGTCGCGGGTTCGATTCCCGCAAGAAGAAACTATATGTGATCCACAAATTGTTGTTCCGGGTATGTGTGTCTTGTGTATGTGAACTTGTATGTTTGTAATGTTTGCACCCACGACACAGGAGGGACACACATACCTGGAGTATGGCAACGTTTAAAAAAGGTAATGTAAATGTAAAGACAACGTATAATTAACGGGCTTTTCTAAATAGAATCAAGGAACCATATGAAGATTTTCTATGAAGCTGGTTTAGTTCTTAAATTTTTAATTAAGTTATAATGAAGTTACGTACATTTTAGATAAAAATCTACAATCTAAAAAAGGTCTTTACATCAAATAGTTCACTTCACTATAATATATTCCAATATTTTCTCTACAAAAACCTATCAATATTTCAAAAACACCTTTGGAACACACCCCCCCAAATTTCAGTTCAAAAATAATAAAGTCTACGTTCACATACATACGGCAGCAAAGTTCATCAAGCCGAGCTGAGAAACACATGCTTTCAATTAACTCATATAACAACGTTTCATGGTTTCAAACAACTGCCACTTGATTGAGTTTTATTGTGTACCCGGTCGGTCTATTTCCTTTGATACGTGTGTTAGGAATAATAGGTGAACTTACTTCAGTTTTGTTGACAGTTTATCGAGTAGAAATAGTTTTACATATTTATTTGTATAAATATGTATTTAAAAACTAAAAGTTTATGAATATTTGTGCAGCGATTTGTGTTGTTGTTTATTTAACAATTTGTGAAACACAAAATTTCAGATCTTCCATGGCAACATTCTTTTATAAGGTTATTTTAATGGCACATTGTTGTCTTTTAACATGAATAAATTATAAAAAGATCTCACTTTTCGTTACTCATATTTTATATCCTGCAGCTGTAGCCAAATGCCACTTAGCGCTTGTGTACATGTAGAATAAAAAACCAAATTATATGGGATTGACGTAATTTGTTACACTTGTCAGTGTCATCTACATACATATAGTTTTCTACTCTCTCTGTAGACAAGCGCTAAAGTGGCGTTTGGCTAAAGGCACTGAATTTATTTATTTTATTGACGGAAAGCAAATCATTGATTTGTTTAATATACCCGATACCTCCAATAAGTACATTACACCATAAAAATCATAGAGCACGTGATTATAAAGATAGACACGCCATATTTATATTGATGATTGCGCTCTATGACATTCACAGGTTTAAAATAATGACAGCTTACAAATAACTCAACAATTACACATAACGACATCACAATAAACAATAATATTATTCACTAAATACAACAATAACACTAACATTTAATAACCATGTCGCACTTCAAATGCGTCACTAAAGAATTTACAAGTGAACGCTTTGATCTGTCAACCGAGAAATGTAGCAAGAATTCTAACAAGCTCGCCATTTTCTTGAGCCGTATGTAGCATGGGCCTCTTTGAAGTGATTTCAGTACATGGTTTATGACCATATAGAATTAAATGGCTGACTTTTTTATGACTGAGATGGACTGATATGATGTTTAAGTTGTTATTATTATTAGCACGTGTGCTTTATGATATTCAGAATTAAGACTTAAGTGTTTGGGGTGTAAGACAATTGTACCATAATGTGAATAAGGTCGTGCTAATGTTCGGTCCTTGTTTTTTTGTGTTAAGTGGAGTATGATTGGGGTATATGAGCTTATAGCACCGACCGACTGCCTCGTTGGCCGAGTGGTCGCAAGTGCGACTGCCGACTATTACATGGGACTCATGACATAAATAGTGAAAAGTGGGTGTTACATTGTACAGTGGCATTAAGTGCCGTAATGTGCACCTCTGCCTACCAGGCAGAGGTGAGGAACATCACGATGTTATTTTATGTTAAGCACCGACCTATAATTGACATTTTTTGCTTTTTGATTGTTTTTAGTTTTGAATTTTTTAAAGTCGATATTTTTAAGAAAATAGCGAAATAAATGGCTTTTTATTTAATTTATTTTTATTATTTAATACTAAAGTCGACTTTTCAAACACAGTATTTATTTTTTTATTCGACACTCGCATTTGGTTAACGTGACATAAAGAATAGACAGTATTTTTACTATAGAGAGTTTATATAAAACTAAACTAGTAGTAGCTCGTCGCAATCTATGGTCGCCATTACAATTCGATAGTGGCCTATAGACAAAACAAAAAAAGAGAAACTCACACATTGACATCGACTACATGTATGTACTTACCAATCAACAATTGTTGAGTGTTATCGTATCCTTGCAGATCCATGTACCCTTCTTCATTGTTAGCAGTAACAAATAAAAATCCATTTCAGTACCACAACCACAAACAACAACAGATTTACAACCCTAACACAACAAGATTAAAGTATAAATTACTTCGCAGCATTTCCATTTAAAGTGGACAAAAAATATTTTAATGCATTTTAAATCGTCGCCTGTGAAAGTTAAAGTTGGTTTTTGTTTGTAAGGTTTTATGAATGTTGTTCGGAATAAACCTTTAATATACGCGTATTGGAAGTTCAAGTGTTTCCGATTCAAATACATGATATTAACCGCTGCTTTGCTTTCTAAAAATAATATTGAAAGCACAAATTAAATGTTTGGGCGTCTGTTTTGTGATTCACTGATCCATCGATTATGAATAATATTATAATATGTATATATGATCCAGACTTTTTGATTCATCAAACAATTTCTATCAAGTCATTTTTTATTTGGATCATATGTGGAGTTCAATAGGTTTAATAGCACAATATTTTAAGCTAGCTTTTCTTGTACCAGAGTGAAATCTAGGTTGATTGTAAATTATAACAATAAAATATACCGATTATCTGAGTCATAATCGAACTAATAAAACTATAATATAACTGGAGAATTGTATTGTAAACCTTTAAAATTGGAAAAGAGTAACCTATGGAGTTTCTTGCTCGTTCTTCTCCATAGGAATCTACACCTTGGAATGAGCTTCACTTTTATTTTTTTGTTGACGTTCAACAGTGCCTTTCTGGTCTAATTGAAATAAATGATTTTGACTTTGACTTTGACATATTTCAACTTTAAAACTAAAATTTATTAAAGAATGGACAGCTAAACGTATCACTTGTTTTTTTTATAATAACTATCGTGAGACATACTAAATTAAGTAAAAACGCGGGTTACTCACGTGAATATACTGAGAAAAGCTCTACAGCTCACTCAGTGAGCTGCGCGACGTCGCCGCGACCGCGCACGCTGCTCATGAGGAAGAACCCCTCTGTGGTTCGAAACTAGTAGAGCTTTTCTCAGTATATTCACGTGAGTAACCCGCGTTTTTACTTAATTCACTTATTTTTTAAGTGATGAAGTGACTAGAATATGATGATCATTCATTCCTTAAGTAAAAATTAAATATATGTTCTAGGTCTACATACATAACATAACATAACATCACGCCTTTTATCCCCTAAAGTAGGGTAGGGTAGGCAGAGGTGTACATTCTGCCACTGTACAATGTAACACCCACTGTACAATGTATTTATATTATGAGTCCCATGTAATAGGTGTGAGCCTATTGCCAAATACCGGGCACAATTCCAGACTCCGTGCTACTACTGAGAATTTTTAAAAACCCAGTAATACTTTGCCCGACCCGGGAATCAAACCCGAGACCTCTTGCCCGGCAGTCGCACTTGCAACCACTCGGCCAACGAGGCAGTCTAGGTCTACTTAATTATAAAAACCTCTTATATAATGTAGAACATAGACTGGATGTAATAAATAAAAAAAAACTTAACTAACAAAGATTAGGAATATAATCGTCACAACGGATATCCTCATTAACTCCTTAATTAGAGTTAATGCAGTTAAGGGGTTGTACAGATAAAACAAAACATCCAGTATAAACTGACCTATGATTGTGTCGACAGATCGTGTAACGAGAGACCATGATACACTGGTTGTGTATAGGTCGATGTGTTGCTGTTTCTACTAAACGATAGTTCAACAGAATTATGATTGATTAACTAACAGTGGCTTCAACTTGAACTTCGATAGTAACAAGTTTAAGATGATGAGAAATTTACCATTAATTAATATTGTAATTGGTTATTTAGTATAAGTAGTTGGACTGACTCGTTGGCCGAGTGGTCGCAAGTGCGACTGCCGGGCAAGGGGTCTCGGGTTTGATTCCCGGGTCGGGCAAAGTACTAATGGGTTTTAAAAAAAAATCTCAGTAGTAGCACGGAGTCTGGAATTGTGCCCGGTTTATGTAAATAGGCTCGCCTCCTATTACATGGGACTCATAACATAAATAATGGGTGTTGCATTGCACAGTGGCATTAAATGCCGTAATCTGCACTTCTGTCTATCCTTTCAGGGATAAAAGGCGTGATGTTTTTTTAGTTTGGTAATGTTGTACCGAGTTGGATACTTGTTAGCTGTATTGTATTTTTAAAAGAATAACAAAGTTCAAGTTTGGTCTGTCTATATTCAAAATAGGCAGTTCCTAGTTGCTACGATGCTCAAACATGATATCCTTAATCTACACTAGTATTCTAAATAGTCTCTATAAAGTTTCTTATTTTCCTCTTAAGTATCTTATACAGAAATGTGAGATGTTAGTTATAAGTTATTACGAAAAATATGTGAATGGAAATGCTACGACCATTTTTCCTCTTTTCTTTGTAAAAAAGAAAAAAGTAGTGCTCACCTTAAATTAGAGAATTTTTACTTTTACCTCTATGATAGTAGACAAAACTTACTTCCAATACCACTTGTAAAATAATCTTATCAGATATTCGGAATGCTAAAACTTACCACTCTGACAAGGTACGCAGTCCGAGGTTCTCTGCACGGCCTGTCCTTGGCATGGCGCGCCGCCGTTCAAAGGGTGTGGTTCCGTACAGGTCCGGGTTCGACGCTGACCGCCAGTCACGCGCCCATTGCAACGACACTGCGTCCACGGACCCCAAGAACTCCAACCACCATTTACTAAAGACAAAAGAAATTACTATTAGATCAGTTGTGACGTCATTGCATTTTTAAGGATAAACCGAGAGAGTAGACGTTGTTCATATTTTTTTTTATGGCATAAGCCGGTAACCGAGTAGACGGATCACCAGATGGTAAGCAATCAGCGTCGCCCATTGACACCTGGAACACCAATGGCGTTACAAGTGCGTTACCGGCCTTTTGGGGATTAGGAGTTTGAGGATCGTTGGGGTTTCAGGAATTGGGGAGATTGGGGAAGAGGAGGGTAATTGGACCTCCGAGAGAGTAGACTTTGTTCATGTCCAGTCCTTCGAACAGATTGCAACATAAGAAGGGTAGTTTCTTATGTGGCTATGTTATAGTGCTACTGAGTGTTGCTAGAATATATAAATATAGGTAATATAATGATGCTATTTTATGTAAAGGGGTAGGCAAAAGTGCACATTACGACGCTTCATGCCACTGAACAATGAACAACACCCACATTTTGCTATTGATGTTATGAGTCCCATGTAACAGGGGGCGACCGTATTGCCATATACCGGGCACATTTCCAGACTCCGTGCTATTACTGAGATTTTTAAAAAAAAAACCATTAATACTTTGCTCGACCCGGGAATCGAACCCGAGACCCTTTGCCCGGCAGTCGCACTAGCGACCACTCGCCCAACGAGGCAGTCAAACATGAAGTAAGCTTTTAATTTATGAACAGCAGAAACTTAGTCATAATTTTCTCACAAATCAATGTAGTCAGTTCAAGATATAATGTACTTATAGCCCTTTAGCCATAAACTGTAGGATACCAATAAATAACCACAAATAGGAAAATCAAATTGATATATAAAATTACTTGATAACAATAAATTTATTTGAACTGGTATAAAGTTGCTTTAACATAAACTATGCAAGTCTAAAGAAATAGTTCATAAAACCAGATTACTATTTATTATTTCATTTATAGACTAGTTAGGAAATTCAATTTATACCTATCGCATTTTGATTTTATTGCATTTAACAGTAATATAGTTTTTAATACAGTTATAAAGTGAATTTATTGTGATTATTTAGAGCTTGGTTTGAGAACTATAATTATGATTATTATTTATTAAACTATCAAGTAAACCTAATTACCTATAATCGATTTGATTACGGCGATCAGTTTTAACTCGATTAGGAAATTGCGAAGGAAATGTATATATAACAATATTATATTTCCTAAGCCAATATAATCGCAGTCTATTTTCTTTATTCTAAACAATCAGTGGTTAGATGGACCAGGTTCAACGCTTTATTCATTTTCTTGACATCGTAAATGAACCCGATTGTATCGTGATCTATTATCGTGTACATTTAACACTACCTATTAAAATAAAGTTAGATAAAAACAGTAATTTCACTAAACTTACGATGCTGAAATGATATTTAAGTAACACTGTACAACGGAGTGATTGATTGATGGGCATAAGACATGCACGATAGGAACAAAAAGAAAATATATACATACATTATAACAAATTACAATAAAAAGGTTTAAAAACAGAGAGAGAGAGAGAAAAAAAGAAGATAATAAGCTACATTAAAAAAACTAAAAACAAGTTAATAATAACGGGTACTACGCGGTGTTGGCGGACATGCCCAATCCGAAGGGGTCGATAACTCAGAAAAAAGCTGGGTCCACTGAACACCCAACACTGATTTTAAGTTGGCAGCCCTGCAGTGACGCACGGACGAGTGCACGATGATGAGCATTAAGAAACACGCAGCTTCTCACCCTGTTATAGGTTCAATTTTATTGGCTATGGGCAAAGCGAGTAGTGGCGGACAGATAACGACCGCAGCGCATAACACGACAGAAATTGGAAACAAATGCGGATGATGCAAACCCGGTTTTTATTATTATATCCATTTTACAGTAAAATTATTGAATAAGTTGCACTTAAATAATGTCAACAATACTATTTTTTAATCTTTGGTTTTATTTATATTTGCAAAGAAAATTATAATGTTTACATTATTATTATTTCCGCAAATTTTGTAAACGCTACGCGTCGCCACGGTCGCACATATAGCCAATACGGAATGACTTGTTGGACCTGGCCTGTGTGTGTGCATGTAGCACCAACTGTTATTACAAAAATGACCTATTAAAACTTGCAAAAGCTACGTGGAAAAATCGTGACCAAAATACCGAGTGTAAAAATTCATTTCAGTGTTTTAGAATTAGAGAAATCATGAGCACGCAAGCTTTGGGTACGTACTACCTTTGTGTGTATACTAAGAATTGTATGAACTCCCGATTATTAGGGAATTAATGTAAATAGCGTGTAATTTCATGTTTACGTGACCGTGTTTTGTTTTAATATTGTGTTTGTGTTGGTATTTAATTTTGTCACAATAGTACCTACGTTTTCGTTTTTAGTTGCAGCGATAATTTGCTGTACTTAGAACCAAATCGATGTTGATATATTTTGATATCGGTCTATCGAATCACACATGGGATTTAGATGAAAAATAAAATTCGGTTTTCTTGAAATGATAAAAAAAAAATAAGATCCGATAGATAAAAAGCTCTCTAGAGGAGGAGCTTAGTAAGTGTGATTCATTTGTCGAGTAGTAACAGTTAACATAACATAACATCATGCCTTTATGTATGTGATGTAGGCAGGGGTGCACATTTACGTCTCTTAATGCCATTGTACAATATAACACCCACGTTTCACTATTTATGTTATAAGTCCTATGTAATAGGGGGTGAGTCTATTGCCATATACCGGGCACAATTCCAGACTCCGTGAGAATTTACCACTGAGAATTAAAACAATATGCTACAGTAATACAATGCCAGACCCGGAAATCGAACCTGAGACCCCTTGCCCGGCAGTCGCACTTGCGACCACTCGGCCAACTAGGAGGTCACAGTTAAGTAAGAATTAAATCAAACATTGAAATATAAAAAGGCCAGAAAACAACAAATTAGGTATACGAACAACTGTATTGTATTAATTAGCATCATACACAAAAAAAACACAAAATATCACCACGAAACCAATCTAGATCCAATTGTAGCAACTGGCAGAACTAAGGGCCGTACTGTGCTATATCTTTACCGAAGATCGAACACGCGACCTAGCGTGCTACTCAGATACCTAACCTAACAACCTAGGTACCTAGAATTTACTTTAGTCTAATAATACATTAGTAGGTACATGATACCATCTATTTGTGTTACATACACGAATAAAGATCGTGGTGACGATAATGAACTACTACAAATTATTTTCTACAATTGTATTTTGTTGTACCTATTGTTGTGTTTTAGGTACGTTTATTGCATGTCAAAGTCGAAGTCAAAGCATTTATTTCAATTAAATCATAATTTGGTAACCTTTTGAAACGTCAACAAATACAAAATAAATACAAGTCAGTCCGTCAGTGAAGATAGGTGAAGCTAGGTGCTTATTCCAAAATGTAGATTCGAATGGAGAAGAACGAGTAAGAAACTCCATTTGTTACTTTTAAAAAAAAGTATGTTCTACAATGTCTCTGATACATATTCCAATACTGTGTCTGGTAGAAGTGGAAGTATGTCTGGAAGATGTAGGTGGAATACTACGACTACGTATTTCGTAGAAGGTATTAACAAAGGTAAGAAATACATCCACTAATTGGGCCTCTGGTAACCTCACTCACACGACGAAACACAACGCAAGCGTTGCTTCACGTCGGTTTTCTGTGAGGCCGTGGTATCACTCCAGTTGAGCCGGCCTATACGTACCAAAGCATGGCTCTCCCACACTTATATACTGAATATATGCTGTATACTGAATATAAGAATATATACTGAAAGGCAATTGACTTTTAAGTCGCGCTTAAGTATAGTTCTGTTACTACAAACTCTTTGTAAAACGACAGATATAGCTCGATATTTAAGTACGACTTACAATTGAATAACCTTTCAGTATTCAGGCGATAGATGAGATCAAATTTACACAAATAATTCTATTATACATTATGTTTAAAATAAACCGACGTCAACCTCCTCTTCTTTTGAGTCGTCAGTCGTTAATTAATTAATTAGTTCGTCGTTAACTAAGTTTAACAAAAACTTTTCTGAAAACAGTATCGGTTCAGCTAATTGCGAGATAATAGCACACCAACATACATACAGGTGATACTGAGAACCTCCTTCTCTGAAGTCGACTAAAAACTTCTACTTTGGTACTCAAAGAACTTAAAAAAACCCACACAAATAAAGATAATCCTCTCAACTAAAAATAACAAGTCAATAAACAAGAATTAAACTATCTACCTCAATCCATCGCTGTAGGTATTACCGCCATCACTTTGGAACAAGAAAAGAAAAATCTTAAAGTCTTCATACATGCATTTAATGTAACATTACAAGCGATATAAGTAAAGTCAGCCGTTTTCGTAAATTATAGTTAATAGGCCACCATAACCATGACTTACGTTGAACGTAAATCGAGGGAAACACGGCTCAGTATATGGGATAATGATATTATGTTAAATACATGGTGCATAAAGTGTAATTCAATTCAAAGGTGATGTATTAAACTAAGGTTTTACGAAAGAGGGCGTTTTAAAGCTACTGTTATGCAAATTAAAATTGTAAACCTACACTTTTTGAATATCTTGTAATCACTGACAGACAGACAGACGGACAATTCGATGACCCTTCAAAAGTGCCTAATTGGAGATTGATTAAAATAAATGCTTTGACTTTTGGGACACCTTGTATAGATATTCCATATGAAGAAAAAGTGTCTTAGAAATTAAAAATATTAATATTATTTTCAACAAGAAATCAAAGGATGATAAGCAAGTAACAGTGTTTCTAGTATTCAAAAGTAATTTTAAGAAACTAAAACTACTTTTGAATCGCCTAAGTCAACTAATATTGTGTCAGTAGTATCTTAGTCCAGATTATTACCAACACATTCAATAATGTACACCCTACACTAAGCGATAAAAGCGTATAAAGTAAATGATGATGCCTTTAAGAATATTATTATTGGAATTGGACATTTTTTTTATCTCAATTTCCTATGGTCCAATGTCTTCTAAGCCATCATTTCGTTTTATTGGTCAGATCAAGTTGTTTTTTGAATTTTTATCGTGTAATTATTATAGAAATGGGATAGAACTAGAAAGAAAGAAAGAAAGAAAGACTTTATTTCACGCGCTAAAAAACAGGTGACACATATAGATTTTACACATAGGTTTAATAAGTAATGAGTTTACAAAATATATCTACTAATGTCCCAAGCACAGGTCCCAAGTCTGCGGTGAAATGGGACCAGTTCAGCATGTGCAAGACAGGGCCTTGCGCTGGTATTCTACTGGCCCCGACGACGAAGTGACTCGCGGACGAACAAGTCACCAATCAGACAACGATAAACATAAAACAATTTTCTCAATAATTTTTCAAAAATGCACAAAACAAAACAAATATATAAAAACAAAAAAGCAAATTTAAACACACGTGTAGTTAAATGCAACCTACCAATATCCAAAAAAAAAAAAACTTAAAATAATAAAACAAAAAACAAAGTGAATTAGAGTAACCTACTGCCCCCGCCACCCCAACGAACGCATAGTCATGCCATGGGATGGCGATAGCAAGCAGGCAAAACTGCGAAACTACGCCATACGCCGGCGACCACTGAACACATGTGAATGTAACCAATTGTGTTGTGATGTGATGTGATGTGACAGGCACCACCACCACCAGGAACTGTTGTAAGTATAGTGTGTAGTGTTACAAATTAAGACAAGTACATGTTTATTTTCTAATGTGTTTGTGGAAAGTATGATTGTGTGAGCGTTTTTTGTGAATTGAAAGTTTTGTAATTGGATATTAGTAGTTGGGAATATAAGTTTAAAACAATATGCCGCCGTTGTAGTATAAAGTACAGATAGTTTAAAAATACAATCATGAATCACACAGAATCATGTTAAGTATTCCTACAATCTAAAGCTTTCTCAAGGTCTATGATTATCAGCACATTTATATACATTATATTTGTATTCAGGATACAGCTAAATAGAGATAATCGTCTTTATTTCGAGTTCAGGTATGTTTTAAATTGTATTTATTTTTATGAAGCCTTTGGGAAGGTTAAATCATTAACGCACTACTAGGATTCCTTTATTTTCGCATAAAGTAGGTACAACCCTGATTACATTCATCCCTCATTAGTTCTGCAGGGTTGTTCGTTTCTATATCAGAAAAGGGATTAAATGTTGTTCATCGTTAATGTGTGTATTACTATCAAAATGTTTTATTTAATATTAATTATTTTATGGTAGATGCAAGAATAATAATGGCCGTAGCTCAGTTGCACCTACAACTTTACACTAATGATATTCATATTTTAATCCCGTATAATCCTGGGAGTAAACCTATTATAAAGTTAGGATTGAGCAACTTTGTTTAAGTTACTAAACTATTGTCATGAGAAAAAAAACTTTCACCTATAAGATTGAGTGATTTAATACAAATTCTAATTTATGCAAATCTTCTGAAGATTATAATGAATCAATTTTTCCTATGTTCGTAAGTAGGTAATTTCCTGTCCCATTGTAATTCTGTTGTGAAATGTTAAAAATATTCATAATTTCATCTTTCGTCCAAATTAATCTTTGTAAATCCCACATTTATTATTGAAATTTCGATATTAAGTTTCTTAATGAAAATTAAAATAAATGACGATCATCTATCGTCGCTCGGCGACAGAAGTTCTTAATTAAAACATAAAATAAATGTATTTTATTAATCTATTAGGTGGTCTTAATGTCTGAATTTTATCTTTCCAATAATTATTAGTTGGAAAACTAAATAATTACATTTTGGATAATGTAGAGAGCGGCCACCCGTGGTGTATAATTTTAGTGTTCGTCTCAATAAAAATTGATTGCCGGGTCGCATCTCTAGTTTGTTATTAAACTATTAAAATACTGTTAATATTAATAAAGTGCCTTACATTCTAATGGCGGTTGTGGTGTCTATAAAATTCTGAATTTTATACGTCGTATAAGATTATTTACGTTCGTAGAACTTGACTTGGGTTAGCTTATGAGCTTCGCTGGAAACTATTCGAGTTTCGTGTCCAAACGTTGTAATGGTATTGTAAACATTCCTTTTAATGTTTGGAACATGGATTTAGTTTTTGAACTCTGTGGCAGTTATGTTTCTTTATCTATCATTATTACTTTGTTGTTTCTTTATGCAGGTCACCGGTTTGTGAATGGGGATTAAGTTTGAATTTTTGTTAAGTTTTTCCAAGTTAAGTCCTTATTTTTGTTCTTATTATGATGACGGATTGTTTGTAAAGAGTATATCTATACTAATATTATAAAGCTGAAGAGTTTGTTTTTTGTTTGTTTGTTTGAACTCGATAATCTCCGAAACTACTGGTCCGATTTGAAAAATTCTTTCTGTGTTGGATAGCCCATTTATTGAGGAAGGCTATGGGTTATAAAATATCACGCTACAATTAATAGGCACTGAGTAGAGCGAGTTAAAATGCGCGGAAGTAGGATAATAACAAACAGTCTTGATATAACAGCCACTATTTGTCATTAATCACAACAATTGTTATTTACCGATTCCCAAAAAAACCTTAGAGTGATCTATGCAATAGTAAAACATTCAGCTAATTAATAAACTAGAGACTTGTCCACCCGTCACCCTTTTTAGATTTAACACCGGGTCAGCACATTGTTTGTTAATTAAAATAACCGTTTTATTTGTAGGACACAAACGTTAAATTTTTATACGCAATAAACACGGAACGTGTATCGCATTAGAAATATTTTCCTAGAAGAAGTACAAATAAGTTTAATAAAAGTCACAATAAGTTTTTATTGGTTTTGCTGGAATAATACTTATTTTGAGAAGCTTGTCAATAAGGAAATTGTTAATGAATTGCAAACAGTTGATATAATTCGTGATAATTACGATACACACAATAAAATAGAAGAAGATAAAGTTATAACTAAAAACACGGCACCGAGTTATAATAAAAACAATCATTTTAAAAGTACAAGCGACCAAGACGACAACAAAGAACACAATCAAGCAAGATCATTATACAATCGTGGAGCATAAAAAGTACTGAGGCGACGACACTCGCCCACGCCTCACTATAATGACGATATATAGCCCAATTTGCGACCAAACGATACATTCCAACAACAAAGAGTATTTCCTTCTAATAGAGGTAATTGGTGCGAAGCAGGAACAATTAGAGAACTTGGAAATAGCTAAAGCTACGTTAGTAGTTGATCATAGAACCGTTCGCTTGTAATTTCAAAGTCTTTGGCCTATTTCGAAGTGCAAAGATCAATGTTTAGGTTGTAAATGGAATAATTATTGTTAAAGTTTCTAGTTCTGATTCAATGGGTAAGGACGAGGACGACTGGTGAGATTTCGGTGGTCCAACTTCAGTCAAATATAGTAGATATTTTCTTCTTGATAAGTTGTAGTATCGTTTAATGATGGTAGTACAACAATTTAACAGCAATTTGAGTAATGAAGGTGTAATGTCAAAGTTTATAAGGCTCATCCTTATTGGCCCTAATAGAGACGCCAATTCAAACGGTGCAAAAGTTTGCTTCGTGAGAAATGATTTAAGAGAACAAAACATCCGGGCTACTTAAACAATTATTGGATAATAACAGGTAATTTTAGTTCAAACGAAACTGTTTAAGTAATTCTCAAAACATTAAGCATCCTGGTTCACATGTTTCAAAGGATATGAGTACCAACATTGGGACCATATTTGTCACCAACTGCTTTCACACAATACCATACATAAGCCATATACAGGAGCTTTCTTAGCAAGCCAGCGGCTAGTCACGTTGCTAAAATTAAATATGAATCATAGTCGCGAAACAGAATTTCGGACGTGCAAGTCAGAGGTGATGATTGCTATCAGTTAGATGGCGCCTGCATCGCGTAGGCGTCTCTAATGACTCTCCCATGCGCTTGCGCCTCGCTATAATTGCAGCTATCGGCCCATGCCCTTTGATCTTACTGAAGTAAAGATAGTTATTACGTACACCAAGGGTGAAATGAGCGTTAAACAGCTTGTCTGATAAATTATACGTGAAATAATGAAACGTGCAACCATAACTTGTTGGGTGAGGTGTACCTATTAAATTGTCTAACGCTCTTTAGTCGGTAATGGCTGCGGCGCTTACTACTTCAAGTTATGGATTTGATAAGGATACATAAATTCTGACCAAGTTTAGTGCGGCATTGACTTCCTGGTTTATAATATCTGGATTATATTAACGCGTTACGCCCATAAAACTTCAAAGGCATTCGATTTTGTTTCATTTGTTATTTTGTGATTTAATGTTCTTATGGTTTCTATAATGCTAATGTACTCACCATAAACAGTCAAGAGGGCGGGTTCAGAGATCCTCTTGCCGGCGATGTTCTCTGCGACGCAGCTGTAGTTCGCCATGTCCTGTTAACAATAATGACCATTAATTGAAATATATTAGTGGGCTCAAGTTCACTGTTAAGTAACAGCTGTGTATCATGTTATTAGAATTTTGGGGCCATTATAACTTTGGATATTGATGTCATTATTATGTCACTATTGAATTACGTGTGATCAATTTTATGTTGTCTATTCCTAAGAAATTATTATTATTATAATAATTATGATCTATGAGTC